ATTCCTTCATGCTCTAATCCTGTACTGAGGACCAATGGTAGGGCCTTAGTACTAAGTAAGACACAGTTCTGCTCTCTGGGACAGATTAAGGTTCTGGGTGGAGAGAGAGGTTAGGACAGAGGTCTGCACACATGAAAAGGGAACCCACAGGAGATACACCTGGTCAGGTCTAGGTGGGGAGGAGAAGTTCAGGAGGGCTTCTGAGAGAAGAAGACACCTGAGCTGAGACTTCCAGGACAAGGAGACATTAACTGGGTGACAGGGTTGGGTGGGGGAAACTTCAACAAATGCAATGTGAAGTTTATTAGATAGGAATGTGGGGTAGAATGGATGATGATAATAATGGTCAGCAGGTTTGATTGTTCGCAACTGTGTCCCTACCTCTCTCCTGCCAGCACCATTCTACTTTCAATGTTTAAGAACGTCTTCATGAGAAAATCCTCAGATATTAACTATTTTAAATGTTAAGGCATATATGATATGTAAAATAGGATTTCAAAGTCCTAAAACTCAAGGGCAGCCCTATGTGTGAGCTCCTTCAGGAGCAGAGACTATGTAGCTTTCTTTTGGCCTCTTTCACCTGAACTCCACACTCCCCTAAATTCCCACCCCCAAGTGTAGTGCAGGGTTGGTACCGAGCAAGTACTGGGTAGACTGAAACAGGAAAGTGTTCAAATAGATTTAGAATAAACTCCTGGGAAGAGGTTTGGAAGCATCAGGTATTTTTCACAATACTCCTTGACCTCTTTTTCATTTTCCTTCTGTCTCCATGGGAAGCCCTTTTATAGTTCTTGAACACTGCACATTTACTTTAAAAACCATCTGGCAATATCCTGTATTTTTTGTGTGGTAGGCAGAATGGCTCTCCAAATATGTCCAAGCCCTAATCCCTGGAACCCATAATCATGTTCTATTGCATGACACAAAGGACTTGGAAGATGTAACTAAGGTTACATATCTTAAGATAATAAATCTTGGATTATCTAGGTGGTCCAATCTAATCATAAGGGCCATTCAAAGCAGAGAACATTCTTTGGCTGGAGTCAGAGAGATGCAGAAGAAGTCAGAGAGATTCAATGTTTGAGGACTTGCCCGACCAATGCTGGAAATGCCACATGGAAAGCAAGAGAAAGAATGTGGGAAACCTCTCTGAGTAAACATTATCCCCCCTACCCCCCTGCAGGCTGACAGCCAGCAAGAAACCAGGGACTTCAGTTCTCACAACTGCAACCAACAACCTTAGAGAGCGTGGATGCAGATTCTTTGCAGAGCATCCAGTGAGGAACACAGCCCTGCTGACACCTTCATTTCAGCCTGTGAGACCTCAAGCAGAGGACCCAGCTGAGCCTTCTTGGATTTCTGACCTATAGAAACTGTGAGATGATAAATGTGTGTTGTTTAAAGCCACTAAGTTTGTGATAATGTGTTATGCAGAAATAGTAAACTAGTACATCCTTTGTAAGGCACCCTAGTAGAAAGTAGTTCTAAAAGCAGGGTCCCTGAAGCTCCCTTCAAGTAGTCTGTGGAGTAAAAATTATTTTCATAGCAGCACTAAGATGTTATTTGCCTTTTTCACTGTATTGACATTTGCACCTATGGTGCAAAAGCAATGGTGGGTAAAACTGTCAGAGCCTTAGCTCACATCAAGAAAGTGGCATTGTGCTGTACTGTCACACACTTGCAGAAAAAAACATAGTTTTACTTAAGAATGTTCCTGATGCAGCAGAAAAATTATTAATTTTACTAAATGTTGACATCTCAAGATGTCTTTTTGAAATGCTGGGTGACAAATTGCAAAGCACCCATAAAGTGCTTTTGCTGCATTTTAACCTAAAATGGTTGCCTCAAGAAAAAGCATGTGTCCCATTGTGCTTTGAGCTGATCTAGATGCTTTTTCCCCCACAGGACATCATTTTTACTCAAAAAAAAAAAAAGAAAAGAAAAGAAAAAAACCACTGACAGATAAACCAGAGTTATTCAGACTTGGGAGACATTTTCTTGAAAATGAATGAAGTGATCCTGACACTTCAAGAAAAACAACTGACAGTATTTCTTGCTCTGATGACATTTGAGCTTTCTAGCAAAGATTAGAATTTTGAGAAACCTAAATAATTTGATAGATTCTCAATACTTCAAGACTATCTGATAAGATCCACAGTGATACTGTACAGCAATAGAACATGTGATTCTTCTGGTATAATAAAATAAACTGTGCATTTGGAACCTCTGAATAAATGAGTGGATCAATATTTTCCAAATAAATAATGAAGATGTTACAAAATCATACATCGGTAAAAGAACCATTAAAAATGCCATGAAAATTTTACTGATATGATTTTATATTCCACATGCAACTAACCTTTAAAAAACTACCATTTGTTGAGTTTGAATGTGGTAAAAAGAAGACTAGCCACAATTATCTGAAAAAGCTAAAAATAGCCTTCCCCTTTCCAACTACATATCCATGTGAGGCCAGATTTTCAACATTGTAATTCAACCAAAACATTTCACAACAGGTTAAATGCAGAAGCAGTTATAAGAATCCAGCTGTCTTTTATTAAGCAAGACACTAAAGGTTTGCAAAATTATAAAATAATTCTGTTCTTCTCACTGACTATTTTTTGGTTTTGAAAATATAGTTTTTTATGAAAATATTATCTTTATGTTAACATGTAACGGGTCTATTATTATTTAAATAAGTGAAGGCTATATTACATTTTAAGTTTCAATTTCTAATACAACAAATATCGATAGACATAAACCACAGAAATAAAATCTCTTTAGGGTCCTCAAGAATGTTAAAGAGTATACATTACCTGATGAGGCCCAGTGGAGGGCAGGCCATACATGGATGGATATAACTCAGTGGTTCCAAATTTTCACTCTAGAACCACCTTAATCCCAGGGGTATTTTTCATTTGACCCATACAGTTTGGACCTTGTAGTGTTTAAAATAGTTATTAAGCTTTGAATGGGCTTTCAATATTTATAGATTGGCAGGTTTTACATAAAACATCAGATTTTTTAATTCTCTTGAAAAACTGGATGGACTGGTGTTATTGGGTCCACAATCTCGCATGGTCCCCGGAGATGTTTAGTAGCTCTCTTCTCTGGACACAGACTTTCCAATTTCTCTCCATCCTTATTACTCTTTTCTTTTGTTTTCTGTTCATTTTTTTTTTTTTTTTTCTGAGACAGGGTATCACTCTGATGGCTGGAGTGCAGTGGCATGATCACAGGTCACTACAACCTTGAATTCCTAAGGGATCCTCCCACCTCAGCCTCCTGAGGAGCTGGAACTACAGGCATGCACCATTGTGCCTGGCTAATTTTTTATTTTATAGAGATGAGGAGTTGCTATGTTGCCCAGGCTGGTCTCAAACTCCTGGGCTCAAGTTATCCTCCTACCGTGGCCTCCCAAAGTACTGTAATTACAGGTGTGAGTCATTGTGCCCGGTCTTAATCTACTTTATATGTCCTTTTGTTTAAACCTGCTCTTCTTCAGTTATTTACGTGGCTTGCTCAGCTCCTAGAAGCATCTGTATTTGTAATATCCTATCTAAATGATCTCTTTGGTGGCAAGAAATTGAAAAGACCTGGTTGTAGCCTGAGAATCTTCTACTGTGCCCAGGGAGATATTATACATCACAAGATACCATGAACTCACAACAAAGAAGCTGAGATCATCAGATGAAATAAATATTTCTGAATCTTGGACAAAGGTCTATTTTTATTCTAATTCCTTTCAAATTTCCTAATAATCTGCCACTTAATATGGCAAGTGAACGAGTATAGTGCAAGGAGAGTAGCTGAAAATGAGAATTATACAATGAGTTTGGGTTTAGGAGCAAGAGTGTTTATATTGAAATCCTGGCTCTGACTTTGATAACTGTGTGATTTTGGCAAGTTACCTAACCTCTCTGTGTCTGTTTCTGCATCTGCAAAAGTGAGACTAATAATAATTCCTCCTTCACAGAGAGAATTAAATGAGATAGTATATGACAAGCACTGAGAACAGTGCCCAGCACACAGTAACCCCTTATTATAGACTGAATATAGACTGAAACTGTCCCTCCAAAATTCATTTGTTGAACGCCTACCCCCAATGTGATGGTATTAGGAGGTAGGTACATTTGAAAATAATTAGGTTTTGATGAGGTCATGAGGATGGGGTCCTCATTATGGGATTAGTGGCCCTATAATAAGAGATCAGGAAGCTTGCACTCTCTTTCCACCATGTGAGGACACAAGAAGACGGCTGTCTGCAAGCCAGGAAGAGATCCCTCCTGGAAACCAAATTGTCTGGTACCTTAATCTTGGACTTCCCAGACTCCAGAACTGTGAGAAATAAATTTCTGTTGTTTAAATCTCCCAGTTTATGGTATTTTGTTCTAGCAACATGAGCTAAGACATCCTTTAATAATTGTTACATATTATTTTTATTATTCTTTTGAGCTGAACTTGAATCCTGCTATGAAAAGGAGAGTGAACCGCCTTAAGGTTCTGCAGGGCAAACTGAACTCTGTCCTCAGCACCCCACCTCACAGATCCCAGGGACACAAGTATAGAGATCCCAACAGGTACCTGGGAATGACATGGTTCATCGTTTGGATTGATAGTCGCAAACACTTAACCTTCTTGTTACATCTATGGTGGATTAAAGATTGATCATGAGGCACATCAGCAAGTCTATTCACCTTTTCATTCATTTCATTAGTCATCTCTGTGTTCGTTAAACATTGATTGAGTTCTCACTGGGTGCCAGGTACATAGATATGGAAGCTCATGTCCTGGTTTAGGGTTAGAAACAACCACCAGATATTTGTGTAATATACTACCTAAGTAGTTTAAGTCCTTGTTTGTTAGTACCAATGTTTCCCACATGTTTCTGTTGGACTGTGGAAGAACTATCCCTAATCCTAAGGCCATGTTAACTACATGAAATAAATCACTGTTAGGAAATTGCCTTGAAAGGAGAAACAAGACCACAACTCTTAGAAAAAAATGCTGTAAGTAACCAATTTATTCATAAAACAATACAGTTTAAATATTTATTAGTTTTTCAGTCATACATTTTTTTTACCATCATTCCCAAAATGTTGTGCATTTGGTTGACATGTATTTGCAAGATTAGGATCTATAATTATAACTCTGGAAATCATACTAGGCATTTGCTTTGCTTGTTAATACTGCTCCCCCCAACAAAGAGATTTATTTTGCCTTGTGATTTACTTCCCCATCTCTCTGACCAAAAATAAGTTCCACTTTGTGCCTTTTATGCTTACAAACACTTGTCTATTTCTCTGTGAGAAGATCATACAAGTGAAACATTCATTGTTTTGGTTCAAGACTGGTCAGCTTATACTGAAACAAAACACCTCCACCCAAAGCAATGATTCCAGGCATTTCTGCGTATAGAGTTTGCTTTCAGGGTGATTACAAAAAGGCAAAAAGAAGCCCCATGCTAAGCTCAGAGGTTAACTTGGTAAACCAGATATGTGGGGAGCCATATTGCATGGCCATTGGCTATGGACAAGCCCCATTGTTGTGGTCCTAATGAAGACTATTTGAGGTCATCCCTAGGGGTTGACATAAAAATGGGACCATCCATGCGATGGTGTGTGATACCCCCTTTAAAAGGGCAGGGGCCAGCCAGGAGGAGCACTGTCTAGTCTTGTTTAAGGAAGAGGTGTGACTATAAAGCAGTGAGACTGATGTGGGGTGTGCAGCTTCTGGAATCAGTCTCATTACTTTCTACTCTCACCTCTGAGACAGGCAGGACCTTTATGCTACTGGAGGGAGGAGATGCCATTCTCAAGCAGAGTAGGAGCTGCCCTGTTTCAGATGGTCTCTAGCATGACACACTAAAGTCTAGAACCTCACCACTCTTAGTGCAGGCCAAGGCCTGCATTAGCATCACCTGGGTCCTCGTTAGCGATGCAAAATCTTGGGCCCCGCCCAGACCTACTGCAGCAAAATCTGAATTATAGTAAGACTCTCAGGTGGTCTGTGTGCACAGTAAAGTCTGAGAGGTGCTGGGCTACATGCCCCAGACCTACTTCAAAAAGACCACCTCTAGGTGGATAAAACTCTTCTTTAGTAGAGAGACCATTCTTAGCAGGGAGGAATTATAGATAACAACTGCAAAAACAGTGTGGATTGTTTTTTATTTTAAACATGCAAAATACAGTCCATGCATCTGCCATTTTCAAAAGTCTCTCATCTTGTAGCAGATAAAACCAAATATGTTTTGGCTATCAACATTCAATAAATGTTTCAAAATGCTTTATAGTGTAAAGATAATAAGAAATTTAGCAAAATTTCAACAAACCTGTATAAAAAATGGATACAGATACCATTTTATTTCAAGGCGACATGCTGTAATGTAAAGAGTTAAGTTATTATTATTTGTATTTCTTTGTAAAAAGTCTTTAACAATACATAGGGCTTAACAGATCCAGGCCCTGGGGCTACACATGCAAAAAAAATTGTCAGTTAGTTAAAAATCACCAAAACGTGCTATTTTTAAATGTGTACGTGTTTTTTGTTTTTTTTTTTTAAGTACAGGAGTAGTAGACATATTAAATATTAGCAGGAATAGTATTTCAGAACTCTGTAAAAGTGTGTGGAGTTCATGGCGCTAGTGTCCTAGAAGACTCATACATTTCTGACGAACATTTTGGTTTAATCCCCTTGCCGTTATAATAGTCCACGACTTGGTTTGGGACTTCGGCCAACACGCTCTTTGCCAGGGCAGCTGGAGACGCCTGCAGAAAAGAAGAAATCACCATGACTTTGGCTTCTGATCAAAGGAATCTGATCCAGATTCGGCCTAAAGGATTTGAGTCCTCTGAGCAGCTGCTCCAAGCAAGAGTTCTCAGATTGTTGGAAAATAGACTTTTAATTTCATCATTATATTTTTTATGCCTGTCTCAAAATATAAAACTATTCACATCTGAAGATGGGAAAAGTTGATGACAGAATGAATTGTTCTGTAGTTTTGTTTCCAATTTGCCTCCAATTTTTGGGACTTATTTATATTTAAGGCACCAAGTTAAGTTTTACAGGTCTATGGTTCTTGCCATCAGGAAAGTTGTAATTATGTGAGGGGTCTCCCTGAGACTGGCATGGCCAATATTAACTCTACTATGAGGTAGAACATAACACATGCTACAGACCAGCAGCTTCTCATTACATGTGAGCTTATAAGCAATGTAGACTCTTAGACTCAACCCAGAGCTACTGAATCAGAGTCTGCATTTTAACATGATGCCCTGGTGATTTGTATGCATATTGAAATTTGAGAAGCCCTGCTCCAGAGAGTCAGTCATAAACACTGTGATTGACCAGAGCATAGGAAACAAAGAGACTAAGTTATCTTGGAGGCTTCCAAGAGGAGGTGGCATTTAAGCTGGGATATTTTTGAAATGTAGAGGAGGTGGCATTTAAGCTGGGCATATTTTAAAAACATAGAGAAGGGACAGGGAAATGGCATTTGATCATTCTAGGGACAGTGAGTTATCCTGTGGCTTAAGGAAGTGTGTGAGTGTGTGTGTGTGTGTGTGTGTGTGTGTGTATGTATATGTGTGTGTATAGGATGCAGGTTTGGTTGGGCATTCAGTTGGAAAATGAACTGGAGGCCAGGCAATGGAGAGTCTTGAATATCATTCTAATTAATTTAGCCTTTATTCTATTAGCATTATGGATTTACTGCATGATTTTGGAGCAGGGGCACAGGATCATGTGATCTTTGGTGATGACTTTGCAGTAGAGAAAGGTTGAGGTTGCTACCATGCAGAGCTGGATTTGACTCCTGGTTCTAGAATTTAGTACTAACTGCATGAGCCCTGGGCAAGTAAATTCAACTTCCTGAGCCTCATTACTACATACTATCGAAGAGGTTGAAAACATGAGGCAGAGTGACCAGTGAACAAGTTAAGACTCCGAAGGAAAGAGGGTGGGACTCAATGCCAGGTGACCTGGTTTCTAGTTCTTTCTTTTCTATGTAGTTTGCCACTAAACCATTCAACTTTGCTAAGCCCTAATGTTCTCAGAGGCAAAATAGAAGAGAATAAGAATATATGCCATCTCACAGAGTCTCAAAATAAGAGACAACTATTTTTACACTCGTGAAGCTCTGACTAGGGTGGAGCAAAGGCAATATAAGTTATCTCAACATTTGTACACCTGTAATATGCTGAAATAATAAAGAAAAAAGAGAGACACCCATCTTTTAAAAATTTGAAACATTGTTTTCCAGATTTCAGAGTTTTTCTAAAGTGATCCCTCCCATTTTGAAGCTGCCATAGCATGCTGGATGTTTGAGACCCACAGATGCCCTTTTATTTTATAAATAACTGCTCAGGGTTGTGTGTTAGACCATGGTCCATGTGTACACCAGGGCAGATACAAAAGTAATTTTCACCATTTTCTCCCTGGTCATGTCTCATATAAAGGTTAGAAAGTTAAATACTTGATTTTCTAGCCTTCCTTGTATATAGGGAGGGCCATGTGACCCAATTTTGTCCTTTAAGATAGAAGTGGAATTTTCCTGAGGGATGTTTTTTGGAAAGCTTTTCTTTCCTGGTTACAGGGGACAGACATGGCTCTGTTTCCTTTTCCCCTTTCTTTCTCTCTTGAACTAAATCCTGGAGCTATAGCAGCCTACTTTTATCATTATGTAGGAATAGAAAGGGAATCACATAGTGCTGACCCTGACACTATTGAATCATAGATGCCAGCAGCCATCAGCCTCTAACTTCCAGCTACATCAGAAAAATATATTCGTACTTGTATAATATAGGTTTTCTCAACCTTGGCACTATTGGCATTTTGGGCTGGATAATTATTTGTGTGGGGGACTGTCCTGTGGACTATAGGATGTTAACAGCATTCATGGTCTCTACCTTCTAGATGCAAGTAGGTCCCACATTTGTCATCATCAAAAATATCTCCAGATATTGCCAAATATCTCCTGGGGAGAAATGTCACCTCTGATTAAGAGCCACTCATCTAATCCACTGTAAGATAGATTTGCTGTTACTTGCAGCTAAAAATATTTCTGAATAGGGCTGTCAAAGAGAACTTTCTGCAATGATGGAAATATTCTGTATTTTTGCTGTCTAATAGGGGAGTTACTAGCCACATGCAACTATTGAGCCCCTGAAATGAGGCTAGTGTGACTGAGGAACTGAGTTTTAAATTTTATTTAATTTTAATGAACTTAAATAGCCATGTGTAGCTAGTGGCTACCATATTGTGTAGCACAATTCCTAAGTGAATACCCCACTCCTTTGCATATCTGTGCTGCTGGCAAGCAAATAAGGCTTTGGGGACATTAAGTAGTTGGGAAAAGACCAAAAATATAAAAGCAGCTAGTAATAGCAGTAATAAAAGGTGTTTTTTTAAACCATCTATGTGGAACAGGCACTGTACTAAACTTTACATAGATGCCACTTTAATCTTCCAATGCATATATCATTTGCCTCATTTCACAGATGAAAATTTGTGGCACAGAGAGGTTAAATAAATTGCCCAGAGCCACATAATTTGGAGCCTGCCATTTGACTGTGCCCCCTAAATCCATGTGCTAGAAACTTAATCCCCAATGTAACAATGTTGGGAGGAGGGCCCTGATAAAAGGTTATTATCAGGGACTGGGTTAGTTATCACAAGAGTGGGTTGTTATAAAAGGGAATATGCCCCTCGTGCTTTTTCTTTCTCTCTGTCTTGCATGTTCATTTCCATCTTCCGCCCTTCGCCATGGGATGACCCTTGACAGATGCTGTTATCATGCTCTGGGACTTCCCAGTCTCCAGAACCATGAACCAAACAAACTTCTGTTGTTTATAAATTGCCTAGTCTGTAGTATTCTCTTATAGTAGCAGAAAATGGACCAAGAGCCTGTAGCCCGTATAATTTAAAGCTCTGAGTTATCACACAGAGCGGACAAAGAGAGGCAATTCATGGGTTAATGGCTTACATAAAATGATCTAAGCTCCTCACTTTCCCTCTTACTTATGGCTTATTACATTTGGAGTAGATTAGTTTGGCTAATGAAATGGTTTTCAAAATCTAATTTGAAATCCATGAAGATAAGTTGGGGTGGATATGCTCCTGGCATTCTGCCTTGGTCATCCTCAGAGTGGCGGGAGACTCCATGTGGCACAGAGACCGAGCAGCACCGACCTCCTCTCTCTGCTTGGGGCCCGCCGCTTGTTGCTGATGCCCCTCAAGTCCCTGCTTACCAACCTCTGTCCTTACTCAAATACCTGACATAAGCTGTTAGGCTTTCCCCATGACTACTTCTCTCTGCCTTAAAGTCCTATAGCACCATTTTAGTTCTTTTCAACCACTCATAGTTTGCTTAGAACATGATTTTTCTGGTAATACCTTTGCCCCAATCCTGCAATTCTCCAGTAACTTCCTTGAGGCCTAGGTCCATGGCTTTATCATCTTGTTGTGGTCCTAGTGTCTAGTATGTGCCTTGCACAGGACAGGCACTCCATGAGTGCTTGGGGAAGAGGGGGAGGCTTGGGGATAGAGGGTAGAACCTTTCGTGGTTCAGTGGCACACATGTGCATGGGGCAGGGACAGGGAGAGCAGGGTTTGGGGAAGTTCATGAATCTCCTAGGGAGTGAGCTCTTCGATTACTCTTCACACAGGCCAAGTTATAGGTGGTGCTCAGTGATGTGGCTACTACTTTTGCCTGGCTGACAAAATGGAGCAGGACATAAAAATCTGGAAGAACACCCTTCCCTCCACGTTGGACACTATGGGAGGTAACTAGCTTCATTGATGAACATAATTCCAGCAAATTTAGCCTGCTCTAGCACATCCCTCCTTGTAAAGAATATTACTTCTTTTTGACGCTACTTCTTTTGTCCGTATGCAGATAAATTGAGGGCTTGGTGAGTTTCTTTTATTTAATGAGTGCTTTTACTTGGAAATTTCCTCCTTGGGAAAGTTGAGGATGGGATATAGCAGCACAATTACCTCTTACCCACATGTATTGCCCCGAGAGCTTGTGGGAGAGATTGGTTCTTGCTGCTATTACTTGGAAACTCTCTCTGCACTCCATTCTGTAATCAAGGGCTGATTTTCTGCTCCTTTAATGATTTTAGTTACACTGAAACCCCCCTTAAAAGTAGAATGGTAATTGTATGGCCGTACAACATTCAAGGAGCCCTGAAGTGTGCAGTTAACTTCCGTAGAAGGTCTGGGCAGGTCATAAACTCTAGGGTTCAGCTGAAGCTGCTGAGCTGGTGATTTATCTGAATGCTCACTTTAAAACCTGTCCTAAGAAGGCAGCAGGTCACACAGCAATTTCTGAGGAGCATATGCTAAAGGCTCTGATATTAGAGCTACAGGAAGGTAAGTATATGGGGTGGAAGGATAGGTCATTGTTTATTATGATCACCCATTAATCTTTCTACCCCCTATAATTACCTTGCACAGTATAGCTGGGGTCCCAGTGTGAGCCCAAACTGGGATTCAGATGTATCTGGACATATATAATAAGCTGGCTGTGAAGAACGTTGGGATTTATCTGAATGAGATAAATTTATCTGGTTTTACCAAATTAGCATCAGGAGGGAAATTTGGAGTGGATGGGATGGTATGCTGCCTGTCCCTTCCTGTCCCTGGCCTGAGAAGCTGACTTGAGCCCTATGAGGGGAGGGGAGGGGGGCAGTGGAAGCTGATGAAGACATTTTCCAGCAGGGATCCTTGAGACGTGGGGACACAGACTTCACTGCATTAAGGGCTCAAGTGACAGAGGGCACTCTGCAGCATGGGAAGGAGAGGGTTCTCTTCTTTTCCGAGGATACTGCAGAGCAGTTCAGGATGTTGAAGATTCTGCATATTCCCTCCTGCCAGGGCTGCTCAAGTTTGGTCACCAGCCCCTGGGAGTGGCATTGTTGGCACCAAGAACAGCGCAGAAGGAAGGCCTCAGTGGGTAGCAGGGGCTGGGGAAAGTCTCTGCTCCAGGACAGCTTTCACAAGGGGCACAGACTGGAAGAACACAGAGGACTGTCTGTGAATGACCGTGTCACCCCCACAGACTCCCAGGCACAGCTGGGGGAGGCTGTGAGGGGTCTGCAGGGCCATCACTAGACCAGATGGAGCCTTTTGTGAATTACAGAAGGTGTCTCTCTGGGTGATTGTAGCTCAATAGGTTTAGGGTTTTGTGGAAATTTTAAAGGTGCTACTTCTTCCAGGGACTTATTAATTATCCAAAATTTGGGAATGTGAAAAAATTCTATTTCTGAGCACTGTTTCAATGTTTTCTAATATGCCTGCTTCAAGGCCATGGAGGAATGCAATGCTGCTTGACTTACTATTTCTTTCTGGTAAGAGCCCAAGACTGTAAAGTTAGTTGCTGATTTGCAGAAAACTGATAGAAGGCAAATGATTTCTGTTCAGTAGAGAAGGTAATTCAAAGATTATGAGTTTGTTTTTTAGCCCTGTTGATCACCAACCAGTTTTGAATATATCTCAGCAAACTTCTTCCAGCATTTCCCCCTCACTGACCATATTTAACTGTCTTATTATACTCCTTGGAACTAGCTTTGTCATCTTGCTCCTGAATGAGTTAAATAAATCTTAGATGCTGCTTACTATGTATTTATAGAGGATTTAGGATTCTATCATTTTGAAAATATACTTTTCCAAGGCAAACAGACTTCTGCCAGGGTATATGGCTTGATCAACAGAACCCAGGCTGAATTTTGGCTTCCCCTTGCTACTTTGGCCAGGCACACTTGGGCAGGGAACAAGATGCCCAACTGTAAATGGCTGAATGGCAGCCCTGGGGGCACTAAATTATATGGCTGAGAGTAAGCATTGGTAAAATTTGGCTACCATAGTTAACATGGCTCCTTATCTATAACTCAGTTTATACTTTCTCCAAAGAGTAAAGCTCTGCATGTCCTTGCTGTGGGAGAGGGCTTAGCCCAGGAAGGGCTAGCTGGTGTTGCTTCACGAATAGAAGATCACTACAAACACTGATGGACAAATGTGAGGGGTGAGCACGCTTTGGTTCTGCTCTCCCACTGGAAGCACCCCCAAGATGTAAATGCATACGTGTTTGAAGTTCCTGAAGGGCACAAACTGCACGATGTCTCGAAGGACAGGCTCTCCTTTGGGTGACCTCAGAATCCCATCATCACCGTCCAGCATCTGCATGTCACTGAAGTCAGCGTTCCCCACTCCCACGATGATGACTGACATGGGGAGGTGGGAGGCGTGGACAATGGCCTCCCGGGTGTCGGCCATGTCTGTGATGACGCCATCTGTCAGGATCAGGAGGATGAAGTATTGCTGCCATCAGATGCCAGGTGACGATGGGCAACATAGAGGTGGGGGAGACAAGGACAATACGATACCAGTTAGTATCTGGGTGGCTTCACTGCATATTGACCAAAGCAATGGTGACAATGGACAATTTTTGAGTGCCTGTGCTGATAGCTCTAAAGGCTTAAGGTTATGATGAGTGGAGCTTAAACACAGTCACAGTAATTATAGCTTAATTATAATAATCACCCTACTGACAGTTAAAAAGTAAAATGTGATAGAAGAAGCAGTAGATGGAGAGTCAGGAGGACTGGCTACCCAGCCTCAGTCTTTGAAACCCTGGGAAAATCCCTTAACTCCTCTGGGTCTCAACTTCTTCATTTCTTAAATGAGTGGTGGGGCCAGATCATCTATACAATCTTCTTCAGCTCAAAGATATTTAAAAATCTAAAGCTGTGCTGTCCAATACAATAGCCACTTGCTCCATGAGACTATTGAGCCCTTAAAGTGTGGCTACAGCAAGTGAGGAACTAAATTTTTAATTTTAATTAATTTAAGTTTAACTTTAAAAATGGATACCCAATTGAGTTATTGGAAACCTTTTACGTATGTTTGGGGCAACTTATGTATGTGAATCTACCTACTCTTTCAACTATTGGTTTATAAAATCTAAATAAATATTAATTATTTGTGATGATAACTTAGGCTCCAAACCGAGATGCTGTAAGTGTAAGATACACATAGGTTTTAAAGACTTAGCAACAAGAAAAGAATATAAAATATGTGATTGATAATTTTTTATATGAAATACATGCTAAAATGACAGTATGTTGGCCATGTTGGGTTGAATATATTATAAAAACTGATATCCCTGTTTCTTTTTACTTTTCAAAATGCAGTTACTGAAGAATTTAAAATTATATAAGTGCCTAGCATTATGTTTCTACTGGAAGGCACTAGTCTAAGCCCTGCTAAAGAAGGGTCAGGGTTGCAATCTCTCCTTCTGAAGGCCATGTGCCAAGAAGGTGGTGGCCCTTCTCCAGCACAGATGCAGAAGACTGTGGTGCCCTGTGGCTTCCTGCTCGAAGTCCTGGCTCCTGGCCTGCAGCCTGTCTGGCCTCTTTCCACCTGGAGAAGTTGCAGGCACTCATTAGAGATGGGATTGGCAGAAAGGCTCTGCACTCAGCAGCAGGGAAGTGCTTTGGGGTCTGGGGAAGGAAAACTCATTGGAGGTCATCACTGCTGTTAGTCATCAAGGGAGGCACCATGGTGGCCTTTCTTGGTAAGATGGGAGAGAAGAAGATTTGTGAGCTCTAGCTCATGCTGAACTCAGAAGAACTTCCCGTATAATCCCTGCAATTTCCCCAACATTCACAGGGAATAAATGTGGGAAGATCAAACCATTCCAAGTTGCCATATTTCAAAAGAGAAAGATTGAACAGAAGACCTACATTTTGAAAACTTCTGGTTTTAAGAATCATACACTTAAGCTTGCAAATAGGCTGGCAGTTCTAAATAGTTTCCTTTTTTCTCTGTAAGCCTTAAAAAATGTTTTTAAACAAAAAAATGCACTGGACATAATTGAAATTCACACTATGATGAAGACAGCCACATGTTCTGAATGCTTTCCATACAGTTTAATGTGAAGACCGAGTCTGTTCCATGTCCATTAACTTAACTACCTACCTAGAATCCTATCCAACCCCCTAATTTCCAAATTTATTTGAGTTGTGTATTTCCATCCCTATCCATGCTTCTTGAGTCTTACATGTTGACAAGGAAGCTGGCCTGGGAGTTTAGAGGAGGGTGTCAGTAGGATGAGGTGATGAAGGAGCTAGGAAGATACAGAGCAAAAGGACAGAAGGAGGCAATGCTGGTGGTTTGAGGAGGGAGGGAGGGAAGGGTATGGAATGCACCAGAATCACAAGTCGCCCTCCCCAGTGTGCAGCTTAGAGGGCAGGGCAGATGCCATGCCTGAAAGGAGACTGCCTGCAATTCATGAGCAGGTGGGCCCTTGAAGAATCCATAATTCTGCATCCTTTCCTTTATTCTCCACCTCCCCTAACTCTGGTCTGATCTGATTTTTACAGTGCAGGGGATAAATCTCCCCTACTGTGCAATGCCTCAAGAAACAAAACAAAACAAAAAAATCCTTGACAGTCACAGCACCACACTGAGAAACTTTAGAGTTGTAATGGTCTAGAGCAGAAGTTAGGAAACTGTTTTCTTAAAGGGACATTAATAAATATTAATGGGAAAAGGGAAATTAATAAATAATTTGCAGGCCATAATGGCTTCTGTCACAACTACTTAACACTGGTGCTGTAGTGTGGAAATAGCCACAGACAATATGTAAAATGAATGGGAGTGGTTATGTTCCAATAAAACTATATTCATGGATACTGAAATTTGAATGTTACATAATTTTCATGTGTCACTAAATATTCTTCTTTTTTTGATTTTTTGAAACTTTAAAAAATGTACAAATCATTCTTAGCTTTCAAGCCACTGAAAAACAGGCTGTGAGATAGAGTTTGCTGCCCTTTGATCTACAGCAGGTGTTCCTAATCTGGGTCTATGGACTGTTGAAAGATTTTAGGCAGTCTGTGAACTTGGGGTAAATTACTTTTTTATTTTCATGAATCTCTAATAGAAATCTATCTTGTTTCAATTATAAATGTAATCAACACGTCAAATTAGTATTAGCTGTACTTGTGACTTAGTCACCAATTAAAAAATCACAGATATTTTCCTGACATAGTACAGTGGCTGCAGGTATTTCAATGTACTGTTTACACTCACCATTATTCAGAAATTACAGAATTATTAGACTAGCTGCTGGTTCTCATAACTTAATATGTATATAAAACAGGTATTTTATATTTATGATGCTTCTTTGTCACATTTTAAAATATTTTGCTAACTGTATTTCAATATAATTTGTTTACTTAGTAACATATATTTTATTTTGTGCACTTAAAAATACTTCTGAGAAGGGGTCTGTGGGCTTTACCAGCTGCTAAAGGGTTTGTGGAACAAAAATGGTTAAGAAACCCTGGTCTGAGAGATTGTCGGGATTCTAGAATCCGATCTCTCCAGGTTTCATCTAGCTAAAGGTAATAGACTGCAGACTGCTGGATCGAAACCCTGAAGGAAATTTCCAATAAGGCTAGCAGTAACAGTTCCTTCCAAAGTCAGGCTGGGAAAATGCTCAGGGATGAAATACGAAATAGCCTTTGAATATACTTGAGGTCATATTTAGATAAAGAGGGGATTTTCTCTTTTTTCTAGGAGAGTTCCACAAAATAAAGGAGAAAATCCTATAGCAACAGACTCCCTAGCATAGCTGGCCTAAGAGGTTCAAGTTTATGACCCTTAGCAATCAGTAACAACAAAGGATCCTGAACCACAAACTGTTCAAAGAACAGGAGAAACCTCTGGGGGAAAGCATCTATTCCTGGCATATGGGGATAATATTTTTGGGGATATGTGGACTGGATGCTTCTTGCATACGGTCCCATTTCCTGGCCGTCCTTTCAGACCAGCCCCACCTGGCCCTGGAGAAGTGATTGATGGCCAAAAACTCATGCTGGTTTATTCTGGTTTATGTAAGACCCAAATCCAGGCCTATGCCAGCCCTGTTCTCTTTTTACTCTGGTGGGTTCTGGTACCACAGAGGGGATGAGACCATCCTGTTTTAAACTGGGCTCTGTGGATGCCCTAGGGATGCCTCAGATACTCCTGGGGATAAAAGGGTACAGGAAAACAGACAAGTTTTGACTCTACCCGTTAACCTAAATTTGGCAAGAATTATGTGTGTGTGTGTATGTGTGTGAGTTCATGTATTTTATATGTTGGGTTATTCTAAGCAAGTTATTGTTTGAAGAATGGGTTCTGGTGCTAAAAAAAAAAAAAAGATAAAAAATAAAATTAACTGCCGATCCTGTCCAACCCTGATCCCTAAATCTTGCATCTGTGAAGGTTCAAATTTGTCCAAGTCCTATGTGGTAAGAGAGAGACATAGTAGGGGAAGCCTCAAAGAGTCCACAGACTGGTGGAGTGTTGGTTTGCAATGCTGAGAATTGTTGGTGGATTCTCAAGAGAAGAGAAAAGATGAGCAGAGAGGAGGCATGATTTTCTTAGCTTCAACACCTGAAGCAGACTGGGGCAGCATCAAGCTCCCAGCATCTCTGCTGGATGAGATCCCAGATTATAGAGTGGCTCTGTCCAGCTTAAAGGCCAATATGTCCATGGTCAATGACTATTCTGAACTTGTTATCCAAGGAGACACACCTTTAGCTCCCCAGAGGTCAGCAACTGACTGCACAGGGTCTTCAAGCCTTTCTGTGGTCAAATCATTGGATAGTGATTTCAAGAACACATGTAATGAGCAGAAGAGGTAAGGAAGATGCCACACAGATTAGGCACGTTTGTTTTTCATGGATAACTCTGGTCACCTGATGGATGTTGGTTAGGAGATCGAAACTGTGGTCAGCTATGTAAATGAAAGAACATTTTAAACTTATTAGTCTAAAATAAAAATTTGCTTAAAACTATCCCCATTCCCTTGTAGGTCTCAAAATAACCCAAGCCTGGAGGAGCTGAACATGCTACTCAGATGTAGGAAAGAGACAGTGGACTGAGCAAAGGCATGTGGCGACTGTCATTCCCTCTAGGGACCTTGGGAACTCTGATCTTTTCAAGTAGGAGAGACTTCAAATTTTAACTACAACAGGAACACCATCCTGGCATATAAGATGTACAATATTTAAGATACACATAAATTTTGCAAGATAAAATTCAAAGTACTTATCATCTTATATGTAGGAAAAGTAATTTTAGAATGGTTTCATATTCATTCTTTAAATAAGTATGTATTGATCACATACTGTGTGCAGCATTGTTTTGTATACTGGGGATACACTAGTGAATAAGGTCTTCTCATTGTAGAGCTTTCATATGAAAGTAGAGGAGACAAAATACACAAACAGTGGAATGCATCTAAAGTAGTTCAGGTGGTGATAAGTGCTAAGAAGAAAAGTAAATCCAAGACAGGGTAGGGGTGGGTGGCCTGGCTATTTTGGATAAGGTAACCAGGAGGAACTTTCAGAGGAGTTGATAGTTAATCAGGTTTAGGGTGAGAAAAACCCTGATGGAGCAACAGGTGGAAATGCCTGGACATGGGAATTTGTTTGGTGTATTTAAGGAACAGCAAGAAGGTCAGTGTGGCTGGAATCCAGGGAGCAAAAGAGAGAGTGATAGGAGTTAAGATCAGAGAGGTAGACAGGGAGTAGGGCATATAGTGCCATCTAGGCCATATTAGGGAATTTAAATTTTATTCTAAGCACGTTGAGAAGTATTGGAGGATTTAGAACAAAGGACTGACATAATACTAATTGTATTTTTAAAAGATCAATCTGGTTTCTGTGTGAAGCATAGATCAGAGCGGGGAAAAAGGTAGGAATAGTAGTTAAAGTGTAAAATGGGGTCAAGGGAGAGATTTTTAACTTAAACAGGAGATACAATAGAATGCTTACTTGCTATTTGGGAATGAGTCATTCTATTAGCAAGAATACTTATTTGCTAATGGGAGTAAGTCTTTGGTAGCAGGTGAAGTAGAAAGTGAAAAGAATAGAAGATAATAGATGATAAGGAGAAAGAGAGAGAATATAATGGCTGGGTCACAATCCTTGGATAACTGGGAGGGGATATGCCCCCATGCACAGAAGGAGAGGCTGACATCAGGTAGCAGTGTGGTCCTCCGTCTATCCTAACATGAGGGAAGGCTGAGAACGTGGGTACAGTACAAGAAGAATAGATGAGTTGATGTAAAAAGATGGGGGAGTAGTATATTATTTTCTTTATGTAAATTCACTATCCTGGAACCCAGGATAAAATTAAAGAGAATATCAGACATCAGTAATAGTCTACTAAATCTGAAAAAAAATCCATAAAGCTTAAAAAGAAATCTATTGATATCATTAAAGTGATATATACGAAAGTTATTATGATAATATATTTACTTCTAAAATGCTAGATGAAAAATCTAAACTCTGTTTGGCCTTAGCTTGCATTTTTCTTAAGAAAACCCATAGAATGTGAAACAAGTCTTTGCTGTAATGTTTTGTGTTGCTGCACTTCACCACCAGGGTGCAAAATCATCCATTGTTTTACTTCTGTGGAGTTTGGCTTCCATCTGTAGTATGGGTATGTTGGGAAAGCAAGCCTATATTTGGGTGGAGTTTTTTGTTTGTTTGTTTGTTTCCAGGGATAGGAGGTAGGTATGACATACTTCAGCGAATATAGTAACTTCCATTGTTGAGTGTCGCCTGTTTTCAGGCAATGTGGTAGACATTGGATATGTATCATCTCTAAGCCTTACAACCCAGCAGAGATGGGTTTGATTATGCTCATTTTTCAGATGAGCAGACTGAGGACAGGAGAGGGGTTAAGTCACTTGTCCAAATTCACACAAGTAGGAATGCTGGAATTTATTGGCCAAGTGGGATGGGTGTTATGGCCAATATCCAGGTGAAGAAGGGAAACTTCCTGAGAGCAGGCAAATCGCCCTCTCCTTACCGAGGCCTCCTTGGTGTTGGTCTCCTCCGAGGCTGACTTGGCAACCTTCTGAATGATGGGGGCGATGTTGGTGGGACCGTAGAGTTGGAGCTTCGGAAGACAGCTCTGATAGGCTTCCACAACGCCTTGAATTCCTAAGGTGAGATTAGCAAAGATCAATAGTTCCTCCAAATATATTTATCGTCAAACACACACAAAAATGTAGCACTGCCTTTCTCCAAATAGTTCTTATCAACATCGCATTTATGTTCTTCAGCTAAAAAAAAGAATACCACATTGCTACTATTGCTGCCTCCTTCCCCAACGAAATCATTCTTTTCTTTAAAGGCCTACGTCAAAAGCAACATTTCCACAAACTTTTCCCTAATATCCCACTTTACATGTAACATTTCATTAGATCCTCATAGCATAATAAAATAGGTGAAGAAACAGAGGCATAAGAAGTTAAATGATCAGCCCCAGGTCACACAGTAAGTGAGTTATAGGCTCAGGATTTCAACCCAGGTCTGCCTGGCTCTAAGAGCTGTGTCCTCAGCCACTAGGCAAGTCTAGTTTCCACACCACTATGTTGACTCTAGTATCTACCACCAGGGACTCCTATAAGAGTTGTGTGTTCTCATCACCATCTCTACAGATGTTACACTCCCTGTGGGCAGGAATCATGACTTACTTACTTTTGTATTTCCTAAAAGAGCCTGAGGCAGTGTCAGGTACATGGTAGATGCTTACTGAGTATGTGATGATTGTGTAAAATAGCAGATAGACTCACCCACTGGGAGTGGTAGTACAGATGAGTGATGGATGGTCATCACCATGGTCAACCTCTCATTCAAAGGGGACTTCCATCCAGGAAATATTATAGTAAAGCCTGGGACTCTACTAAGAGAGGCAGCCCTGCCTATGCAGCTTCTCCTAGTATTTGGAGAGTCTTGAATGCACATTTCATGTTATACTCCTGATCCCCAAATAATAGTCACATTACAAATGATTTTTATTCAAATGGCTGCTCTTGGTGCCTGTGCTTGTGTTATCTCTTGCCTTCCCTTTTTCCAACTTGTCCTTCCATCTCTTTCTATCCTAAAATAGCACATTGGTCCTGTTTGGGCCAGGGAGATCCACACAAGCCCCTCATGAGGTTGTTCTCTACAGCCACCATGCATTGCAAACCAGCTCTTGGGGATTTTGGATGAGCAAGTTCTGTTCTGTTCTGCCTGTATGCAAATGCTTCTAACCTTGTTGAAAAGGCTTCACCCACCTGCCCCAAAGCCTGACATTCTAAAGACAGACTCAAAATCACATTGCAATTTGTTTTTGAAATTAAGTGATGCTGAGTGGAAGTTCCTTATCTCTTTTGGTTCTTGAGTTTTTGCGTAAGATAAGCAAGTTTGATTTCCTTTTCAAAAATACCAGGCAGATGAATTCTAAGATTATGAAACAGGTAACAACTAGGGTTTATATTTTATTCTGCTTTGGTGGAAAACCACTCTTATAGTTTAAGAATGGGGAGAGTTGAGGATGAGGAAAGTCTAAACCATAATAAACCAAGATATCATGGAAAGGAATAATGGCAGAATGGAGGTTGAGTCTTGGAGGTTACTATGTTCAGACCCAATGATATTGATATCACATTCTTGGTCATTAAGTGTTAAGTTTGTGATACAAATTGTTGGATGCTTTACATATCTCACTGGATCCGAATTAACCCTGCTCCACCTCCACTTCCTCCTTAGCAAGAAGGAGAGAGAGATGGGCATTTCTACTATAAAATGTCTTATGATCTTCATAGCAACAAATGTTCTTAGCTCGGTTACTTAGAAAGCAGGAAAAATAATTCTAGAATGAAATTTAACATCATAGTTTCAGCATCATTATTTTGTGGAATCTTCTGGTTGGAAATAAGGAAACATGGACTTTGAGAAGGTTCATTATGACACAAAGACATGATACCACCTGTTCAAAGTCACTGAGGCCACATCCTTTGCCAACATACTGAAAGTGCCAAATCTTTTTCATATTTTCCCTTCTCCTTATACCTGCATATAGACGAAGTTGTAAAAAAAACACTTGATGAAAATTTGGAAAGCAGAAAGAGGGATATCTCATCACTGTCCATCAAGTGAAACTCCCCATTCTTCTTATCTAGCTAGCCAGCTAGCGTTAGTCAGAGGAATCCGGGATTGGGGTCAATATTCTTGCTGTAAGCTAGGATACCTCCTCTGCATTCTACCTTTTACTCTTATTTTTCTGATCTGTTACTATGGCTCTCTGTTTCCTTTGGAGTGGTGCAGTGGTTTATTTGGATACAGAAAGGCTACCTGTCTGCTGTGGACAATCATAATTGATATGCTATATCAGTAAGAGAAACTAACATAGTGCAAAAGGAAAGGCTGTGAGACATTGGCTTTCTTTTATATTGTGATTTACCTGCACATTCTGGGTTATCTTCATTAAAGTTGATTGCAAAGTCATGAGAGACCTAGACATCAATTAAAATTTAAAAACAGGAAGAAAGAAGAATTACAACTTTAATCCAGTAAGGAACCACTGGGGTTTAGAGTTTGCAAACAAATGCCCATTACATTCATTATTGTTAAGCAGCAGGAACCATTTTAAGCCTTTACACAATCAATCTAAGATGGAGGGTGAATTCTAAGCTCCCTGTGGAGTTGAGGTGACAGGAAGATTTTTTTGGAATCAGATAAACCCTGGCAGGAGGGGACAATAAGACATATTTTAAAAATTTAAGACAAGATTTCAGAAAAATGAACTCCAAATAGCTTCTGGACAGAATTGGCCACAGACTGGAGGCTTAGATTTTGCTGAGCTCTATTTGGACCCAGGGATTAAAAAGAAAAAGATAACTTAATAACCCAAGCTGATGGTTATAAAGGCTCCAGCTAAGCTGTTGACATTTCAGAATCATCCTAACATGATATGCAGAGCTATAGGGCAGCAGAACTTTCACATATATATAGGTAAAATAGACTGCACTCTACTTTTGGAAAAGTAATAAAGTAATATACCTCGTAACCTTCCAACACAAATCCCTCTACTTGGCAGGACCTATCCACAAGGTCAAATAATATATTGTTTACTTTTTCTTCCCAAAAACCTGATAAAATAAGACGGACATTCTGGCATCTGAACAGTTTTGATGAATCATTTGGAATTTTGTGGAGAAATCTATTTCAAAGGAAGTTTCCAAGCTCTGACTCTTTGGGGTGGCTATAAAATAGGTCACCGCGTTAAAAGACATTTCCTTTCTTAGTGGGAGGTTACAGGTGAGGCTGTTGGTGCCTGTCTCATATTTTCTTGCCCTTAGCACTTCCAGGCAAGTCAGCTGACTTCCAGCCATCTTACCTGCTTTATTTACTTTAAGTTTTTCTCTGGTCTTCAGAGTCTGCTTTTCTGTCCAAGTGACAGAGTAAAAGTGTTGGGAAAATGTCCCTTGGGAGCAGCTCTTAATCAGTAATTGACAGGAGAAGATGTATTAATATGCCAGCTCCTTTATCCCTTGGGGTCTGTGTGTGCTGTACATCATCTCTCAGGGTTCCCCAGCAGAATTAAGCTCCAGCTGCCACAGTGGTAACTGGATTGATGATACACCTGGTGCTGACTTCCTTCCATTTCACAGTTCTCTGTTGAGGTTTCCTCCACCTCTCAAATAAACTACTTGCATCTAAATCGTATTTTTAATATCTGTTCCTGGGGAAATGCAAACTAAGACAGATGGGGTTTGGGTTTCACTTTCAATGCATACTCTGAGATTTTGTCCCAGAGAAGTAAATTGTGATGACTTTGTAAACTCTCTGGGCAGCACCTGAGCTGCTCAGACCACCAGTGCTTATCTAGGGCACAGGGGAAATCAGGTACAGAAAAGGGATGGTTGAATGGCTTTTTGGGAACAGAAGTGGGAAAATATGAGAGACGTTTACTGGGACTGCAGGAAAAGTAAGTTAGCTGACAGATAGGATGGAGCTAGGGGATGAAAAGAACATGAGGACTTCAGAAAACAGCAAGAAGGATCAGTTACTCCAAAAAGGAAACCAGGAAGATGTCAGGAATGAGAAAAGGAAGGCTGGGAACAAGGTATGTTACCCAGCCTTGTCCTCAGCACTGTTGGGCCAAGTTTAAGTTGGAAGACCTGTGGGGATGTGGAAGACCACCTGTGGGATGTGATGGAGACCACTCAAGCACCCCTGGGGAGTTGGGCTGGTGGTGGTGTTCCAGGCTTGAGGCTCAGTAGCTCTAAGAAGAAAGTGAGCACCCACCTGCCGGCAAGCTGGAGCTGATACCACATCTGAATGGGACTGTAACTCATCAGCTCCAGCTGATTCTTGCATAGGTCATCTTTAATCTTAGTGTTGCCAGGCTTTCAGTTTTTCGAGAGAAGTCAGAAATCTGACATTTTATATAAAATTGCCTACTTCTTTACAAAAATATGTCAAATATAACACATTTGTGGCCTGAATAATGTCTACAGGCCACCAGTCAACAACTCCTGTTCTATAGTCTTTCTCCCCATATGCTCTATTTCCAACAAATGCTTCTAGAATTCCGTGCCCAGCAGGAAGGCCAGTGTGGAATATGAGGCAAACAAGAAGGCAAACAGTTCAGGGAGATGTGCCATTCCATCCACTGCTCACGCAGTAGTAACAGGGAGATTGATTTCCTTTTTCAAAAAGAACACTGAAGGGGAAGGCCCTTTGTCTGACAGCTTTGGTGAGAGAGCAAATGTCAGCATCTTCCTCCTGACCTGCAGCTCAGACATAATCAGTAAAAGAGACATTAATGATTGGGCAGTGTTGCTTGCTATTAGCTCAGGCCTCAGAGGCATTGGGGAGGTGGAAGCTGGGGCAGGGATCTTGCTGCCTCTCTAAGCTCTGCCCACCTGGGAGAGCTCAGTTCTCTGTAGAGAGTGTTCCACATAAGCATCTGGTATACCACAGTAGAGTGCCTCAGCTCCGTTACAGCACAAATTCCTCTACACACAATCTTTGCCTTCTTTCTGTCATGAGAAATCATTATAAAAAACAAATAGGATCATAACGTCTTCATAAGAACCTTTGGGCTTCTCAATCCTCTAAGCCATAATGGTTCTTTCTTCAAGACTTGTCTGTGTCTCCTATACAAGACTTGAGCTCAGAGACTTGGGATGAGGGAGTTTGTAGACTTCATCATCAGGGACTTTCATAGTTGGCATTGCCAATAGGATTTATTTTGATTCTACCTCCTAGGGGAGATATGAATGGATAGGTTCTGAGCCCCGGGAGATCAATTTCCTGAGTGCTTTCTCAGTCTCTGACCATATCTATGGGAAGCTAAACAATGGAACTCTTTGTCTGGACCTCTGAGAAGACCCACCCAGAATACTGGCAGGTCAGGTTTCAGCAAGAGACAGTTTCTAAGGAGTTAATCTTGCCGGTTCTGAAGACCACTCTGACTCTTGGGGCCCTACTCACACAGTTGGCATTAAGAGGCAACAGAGGAGAGACTGCTGCAAAGGAAACCCAAGTTATCCAGGAACCACAGCAAAGTGAAAGAAGATCCCATCTCCAGGTGCTCACCGTGTACTCTGGAGGTATCCTGGCGCCAAACCCAAAGGCTGGGAACATCTTGTCACTGAAATCAAAATAAAAGAAAAAAGAAGTTGCTTCATTTGTTTAGCTATTAAGAAGAAAAAATATGAACCCACACTATCTTGCTAGGCCATGTTGCTATGTCAAATTGTCAAATGCTGACTCAGGCTTTTTTTTTTTTTTTTTTTAATAGAGATGAGGTGGCATTCTTGCTCAAGCTGGTCTCGAACTCCTGAGCTCAACGGATACCTCCTGCCTTGGCCTCACCAGAGTGCTAGGATTATGGGCGTGAGCCACCACACCCAGGCTAATGACTCATGCCTCTTGACTATCTCTGGTAATGGGGGTAGCAATCACACATGATTAAAATCGAGAAACAATCCCCATAGCTCATTACAGTAATAAGTCTACAACTTCTCTTCCCTTAACTTTTTGCTAGATTTGATACCAAGAAATATAATGGCTGCAGAGTTCACCAATCCCCCCCACCAGTCCAATTTTCTGTTTTCTTTGAAAAGTGTTCACGAATTAGGTAAACTCCTATGGTTGACTATGTTAGAATCTTTCACATATATTATCTTTTAAAATATTTATAGGGAGAGATTACTATCCTCATTTTACAGGTGGGAAAGTGCCTTGAGAGGTAAAGTAACTTGCCCAAGATCATGCTGCTAATTAGAGCCACAGTTAAAAGACAGACAAGCCTGGATCTGAGGGGATATTAAAAAGTGATGGAAAGCTTGTAAGTGTGGCCACTGACAGAGCTTTGTGCCTTCTACACGACTCATTGTGTCCACCACCTTATCACACTCAAGCAGCAACAAGTTGTTTATATGACTTTTCTTGTTTCCTGAACTCAAAGGTACCCTGTCTTTTGTATCAATATCTTTACATCTCCACTGCCCTGTGCCCCCACTCTTCACCATAGAACTTGCCATAGAACGTATGCTCAGTAACTAGTTAATGAATAGATAATGTGTGAATTTAAATCATTAAGATGTGGTTACATAACGAAGGGAGAATTCTTGTGAAAACCCATGAGAGTCATATATATATCCTGTGGCTTGGTTTCTCTTATGCATGTTGGAATTTGTCTCCTAATTTATTCATTCACATGTATGTTTATTGTACTATATGTGAAAGGACGAGGAAGAGAAGAATTAGCACATTTATTGACACATACAATGTACCAGGCTCAATGCCAGGTAATGTACATATTTATTAATAATTCTCACACAACCCTGGAAGTTCCACCTACTGATTATTCATTCCCATTTTACAGATGAATGAGCACAGTCTCAGAAAGGCTAAATAAGCAGGCAAAGGTGATTACCAAGGAGGATTGTGTGATCCCAAAGCCCATGCTTTTTCTGGTATACCTTTATAATTTAATGATTACATACAGTATTTTTTCCTTAATTATATATATATTTTTATTTCCTTTCTCTCTTTTTTTTTTTCCTCAGTGAAGAATCAACATTCATGAGAATATATGTAGTATTAAATGTGATTTTCTATTGGTACCTCCAGTAATTGGGCCCCCTGACTGGATAGCAAATAATCGAATTTTGTGCTGTCAGGGGTGTGTTGCAATGGGGATCTAGAATATTGCTCTTGGCAAAGGGCACGTCCTTTTCATACTATCTACCTTTAATTTCCTTTCTCATTAAGAACACATCTGAGATTTCTTCTTGTAACAATTCCTATAATTCTCAGTTTTTGGTATAGTCAGTCAAAGGGGAAAAAAAAAGGAATTCAGATAGAGCTTACTGTCCTGAACATCTTCTGTGAGCAAAAGGGGATCCTCCCATCCCTAAGGCTGACCAAGAAGCAAAAGTACCGTGTTTCCCCGAAAATAAGACAGGGTCTTATATTTATTTTTCTTCAAGAAGACACCCTAGGGCTTATTTTCAGGGAATGTGTTATTTTATTTAAGTACGGTACAACAATCTACATTTATTCAAATATAGTTAAGTAGTTTTCTTCTGGAACATCATCATAACTCTCCAAACCCCAAATTCCATCCTGAATTTCTTGCGACTCTATTTCCTTTAGAACCATTGGCCCCAATCTCTCATGTCGAGCAATAGAGCTCTCATGGGGCAGATGAGAAGGGCTGCTCATCTTCTTTATGGCTCCGAGACAAAATGCATGGTTTGTGCAGATACGCTGCATAGCCACATTCATCACTAGGTCTTATTTTCAGGATAGTGCTTATATTGTGCAAATGCTTAGAAATCCTATTAGGGCTTATTTTATGGGTAGGTCTTATTTTCGGGGGAAACACGGTAGCAAAGCCAGATTCTTACCCATCACTACCTAACTGATTTAGAAGTCACTAGTAGACAATGATGGCTTTGACAAAATTTTGCCAAAACATAGCCAATTTAAATAAATTTGAAGTTAGGGGTTGGGAGGTACAAGGAAGACAGAATTCTTTAAAATTAAAGTCAAAATTCTCCAGAAAATCACCAGCTCTCCTTTTCTCACTGTTGTGCTGCTCCTGGCTTTGTGGTCCATTGCATCCAGCATGTGTTGGAGAAAGTATTAGTGTGGATAAATAGAGACTGACAACAGCTTACCAGGGATTAGCTACAGATATAAGAAAATATACCTCCAGTCCTTGGAAATACTGGAATACTTTGCTTCAGCAATTCCTCCTTAACCAAGACAAGGGCAAAGGGATGTAAGAAGGAATCTGGGAGGGGGATTTCACAAGTTCTTTCTAGTTAAGTCTGGAATACAGCTTTTCAGGGTGGGGGATGGGTCCTAGTTCTTCTAACTCAAAGATGGCCCAAAAGCCAAAAGAGAGAAACCTGGGATGCTCCTTTAGTTTCCTCTTTGATGGGTTTAGGAGGGGCGAGATCTCATAGTCCATCCGTTGGTAATCACTAAACCAGTGTTCCAGCCTTAATGATATTTCTTTTATTCCTTCTAAGCCGTCTTTGGGGATTTGAAGTTTGTTGAGCATGATGCACTGTTATGCAATTGAATTTCAAGAGCAGAAAGGTAGGGAAAATGCCTCACAAGGGGAATAATTAATGAGCCAGGAGGGATAAATTCTCTGAAGTTAGCCACCACAAAGCCTCTAACTAATAAACATACTAAAGAAAAAATTTCAAGCCTAAGCACAATAGATTTAAACATCCATTCTTTCTGTTTAAAAATAAAACGAGGCAAAGAGGAATCTTATTATGCAAGAAGTGAGAGAAGGCATATTGAGCTAAAAAGGAAGCATTGGTGTGTCAACACTTCAAAGAACTCAAGATTGGATCCACTCAGCACCAAGCAAAGGGCCATTTAGCAGCTCTTAGGAAAATAATTGGTGAAGACTGACAATCTGAAAAATTCAGGGGTACATTACCACATTGGTAAAGGCAGTATTTCTTACTATTGGAATAAAATAGTATAAAATACAATAAACAGCCCATGTTCTTTAATGATTATGAGCAAGCTGTCCTGAACTTAGGGAATGACCATGATCAAATGACCTCCAGATGGAAGATTTGTTTTTAATTACCATTTTTACTTTTCCTGTTAAAGAAAACTTTGAAATAAATCAAGAGGTTAATAGGAGTAAAGAAAAATTACTGTATTTATAAGGAAATGGAGACTAATTCAGAGCATTATGGCATTTCAGAGCACCTCGGGACATTTAATAAAGACTGTTTTCTAAAACAGTGGTCTTCAAACTGGGATACATGAAAATGCAAAGCCCTTCTGGGGATAGGAGAGCATGGCTTTTTTTTTCTTTTAAAAAAAGGGAAATCAGTATTCAGTTCCTCTACATCCATATGTACTCTTTGCCGAAATCAATCTGGGAATTCATGTGATGGAGAGACCTGTTCTCCATTCACACTGTTCCTTTCACTATTACCCTTCTCCTTTACCTGTTCTGAATCTTAAGCACCATGGTGCATTGCTCCAGAGGTAAATCTCTGTAGTATCAAATAATGGTACAATTATAAAGGTGAATGATTCACTAGGAAAAAACATACTTTTGTAAGTCAGGTAGTTGCCAATTTTTGCTTTAAATAAATTTTAGCCAGTTCTGATGTCAGCTGGTAGATCATTAAACATTTTTTCTTTGACGATTGACCATTACATGATTTTTTTGGTGTCTAACTCAGAATTGAAAGAATTGTTATTCAAATTCTCCAGTTCCATGTACTTATTTATAAGAATAGGTTTTCTTAGTATTTACATTGATAAAAGAAAAAAAAGTGGGTTAGAATTGATGCTAGACTCTCCCATTCCAATAATAGGTAGCATACATCCACAGATAATGTAAACTAATTGGAAAAAAAAAAACATTATCTGTTTCAATAAGATCTGATTTCCAGTACATTTTTACTTCTTATAGGTAATAATTAGGCACTGAAATTTTCAATATCTTCATGTTCTTTTGACCAATGCATTAATAAAAATTGTAATAAAAATTCCACCCATGTCTTTTGCTCACATTTTAATGGGGTTGTTTGATTTTCTCTTGCTGATTTGCTTGAGTTCTTTATAGATTCTAGTTATCAGCCTTTTATTGAATGTATAGCATGCAAATATAATGGCCAACAGATATATGAAAAATTGCTCAACATCTCTAATCATCAGGGAAATGCAAATCAAAACATAATGAGATATCACTTAACTCCAGTGAGAATGGCTTTTATTAAAAAGTCCCAAAACAACAAATGCTGGCATGGATGCAGAGAGATGGGAATACTCATACACTGCTGATGGGACTGCAAACTAGCACAAAATAGTATGTGGATACCTCAAAGAACTAGAAGTAGAACTACCATTTGATCCAGGAATCCCACTACTGAGTATTTACCCAAAGGAAAAAAAAGACATTCTATAAAAAAGACAACTGCACTCAAATGTTTATAGCAGCATAATTCACAAATGCAAAGATGTGGAATCAACCCAAGTGTCCATCAATACAAGAGTGGATTAATAAAATGTGGTATATGTATACCATGGAGTACTATTCAGCTATTTAAAAAATGGTGAACTTATACCTCTTGTATTAACCTGCTTGGAACT